ATTCCTCTCCCTCCCCGACCCCCCAAAGGTGAACTGACAGAGAATGTTTGAATAGGAAAATTAAATTACTCTGTCCAACTCTCTTAATGTTGGAGCAAACCACACAACTGATCTCCCCTCCAGCCCTCCCTAACAAAGTGAGGAGAACTTTGAGCAGAGCCTTAGGGGAAGACATCTGCCTCCCCTATCACCACCGTCTATGTGGTCCTTTGCTGAGAAGTGGATGGCTTCTGGCTAAATAGAAAATTCCATGACAGTCAGAGTTTTCTCATCTAAGAAGCTATTGCTGAAGCCAGGCATTCCAATCAGATTTCAGTGACATGATTTGGGACACAAAGCAATGCAACCTAAGTGGCTAAGAGGAAGGAGCCAAAGGTTCTCAACATTAAAAACCCTAACTGGAAAAACTAAGAAATGTGTTTTCGAAGAAGTCATGAGGCCAGTACTGCTTTTATGCCTGAGAAAGTCTTTCCCAAATTGTGCTCTTTAAATGGACAATGTTATTTCGTCGTTCTCTTCTTAGCTGTTTTAGTAAAGAATTAGAGGTCTTCTTCTATATATTTAAGTGGGAAAACCTATCGACGTCTCTTCAGTAAAATAGGTAGTTTAGTGTGCTTCCAGTTACAAGTAAAAACAGAAAATAAAAGAAAAAAGCTCAAATTGGCTTCAGCAAGGAAGGTAATTTATTGGATCCTATGACTTAAAAGTGGAGAGAGGGCACGGCGTCCAGTAGTGAGGAGCCATTGCTGGGGTGATGCTGGTGGGAACAGCAAATAAACAGGGAAGAGCACGGTCTCGCTTGCACTTCCTGCCTCCGCTATCCCTCTAGTGCCCCCTGTTGGCAGACTCCGCCAGGTCTAGATGGCAGAGCACAAATGTGGTTTGCAGAGCTGCAGGCTAGCATCGCAGAACTAAGTACGGAAGACAGGGCTTGGGGTTGAGAGACAATAGCTTAATCGCTATCACATCTCTATAGAAAATGACTTTTCTAAATTGCTGTCAAACGAAAAGATAATCAGAGAGAATGCAGCCAAGAAACCTAAGAAATGAGTATCATGGAGCTACATCAGGCAGTTAATTAATGAAAGCATTTATGTTATTATTCTGGATTACGTGATGTGTTTGTTCTCTGTTACTTTCTGAATTGAAGTTGTAATTTCTTTTTGCACTCTAAATAAATGTTACCTACATACTTAAAAAAAATAAAATAAAAAAGATTTACAACCTTCCCCAGTGGTATACAAGGATCACAAAATCCCAAGAATGAAGCTATTAAGGGACTAGCCCTTCCAATTCTCTGCTCACCCCCAAGGGGAACCCCAGCTCAGTGGGTATTTTGTCCTGGGTGCTTTGTTGCCCAGAGCTTAGCTGAAAGTGGAGCAGGGGAGAGGACAAGATCCCCAGTCCCCCCACACGTCCTTCTTTCCCCTGGGCCCCCAGACTGCACTGGAGAGAACCATCGCCCCTGGCCCACGGCTCCCTGCACAGAGGAGGTACTTAGTCTAGCATTTTAGCTGGATGACAGACTGTACCTGTGTCTGAGCTCCTTTTACCATCACCACTCTCCCTCCTTGCAGGAAGTGCATCCTTTAGAGAGCAACAGGCTTGTGTTTTTTGTAGGTTGGGGGACATACTCTCCCCTCTCTTAATCATGACAGCCTAAGTGTATTTCTCTGGGGTTCTGCTTCAAGTTATTCTATATAACTGCGTACAGGCTAATAAAATAAATAAATGTAAGCTCCTGGAAGAAGGCATCGTCCTTTATTTATTTATTTACTTACTTACTTACTTACTTACTTACTTACTTACTTACTTACTTACTTAACATAGTTCCATGGCCAGCATGGAGCCCAACACAGGGCATGAACTAATGACAACCCTGAGATCAAGACCTGAGCTGAGATGGAGAGTTGGATGCTCAACCGGCTGAGCCACCCAGCACCCCAATTTCTTTATCTTCCCTTTGCACTTCGTTATCAGTTAGAATTTCATTCAGTTGCAAGTCGCAAAGATCTGAGAGCTAACAGCTTAAACATAGGAGGGTTTGTATTGTCATGTCAAGTAGGTGGCTTTAGTCTGTACGGGTTAGGGTTCTGGCAGCCCCACCAGCCATCACTGGCCAAGGTTGCTTCCAGCTCTCGGCTCCAGCATCTCTAAGGAATAGCCCTGTTTCCCACCGTGGCTGCAGTGCTTTGGGCACCACTTCCATGTTCCAAGCAGCAGAACAGAGAAAGCGAAAGAGCAGACCCTTCCCCTTTGAAAAAGGAGCATTTGCAAGTCCCACTACCCTGCTGCTTCCATCTCATTATCCAGAGAACTTAGTTACACAGCTATACCCGGCTGCAAGGGAGACTGGAGAATCAAATCTTTTAGCCAGTGGATAATGTGCCTGCTAAAAACTAGATACTATTACTAAGGAAGAAGTCGATGAATATTGATGAAATGCTGATAAGTTAGCAGAATATTGGTCAAAGGATTTCTGTTTGAGGAAGAGTTTAAAGAGATTAAAGTTTAAGTTGAGAGACAATGTCCAGAAAGCCTGAGATGACAGAAGGGCTCTCGAGACAGTTTACTCAGAGAGACGATGTGCAAAATTCAGAGACTATTCCACGACCTCATTTTTCTTTAACATTGAAAATATTTATTGGATTATATTAAGATTCCAGAAGTATACCTGTGAACTTTAGAATATTTGGAAAAAGAAAAAAATAATGTCCCTTACTCCCAGAACCTAGAGATAGCCCTAATTAACATTCTGGTGTGCTTTATTTCAGTCTCTTCTGTGCATAAATAATTTGTTAATTTTTAACGAGTAAAAAAAAAAAGATCATTCTTGCTGTTTGTAGTGGTGTTTTAACTGTTTTTGGAAAAGTGATATATTGAAAAGTCTTCCCCCACCCTTGTCCCTTGTCCTGCTCTCCACTCCAGGATCACTGCTCATGGCAGCCTCTGTAAATCCCATCACAATGGGATCTTTTGTACACTTCAGCAGATACAAACTTCCAAATCCCCAGTGACACATTTTACATAAATGCCAGCCCAGCACACACACTGTTCCTCACCTTGCTGTTTCCACCCACACTTTATTCTGCTTTTTGCCAGATCAACACAAGAGCTTCTCTCTTGGCTTCTGTGCCATTTCTTCCTGTGGCCGTATCCCATTTATTAAACTGCTCCTTCAGATGGACACTTGAGTTGTTTCCAGTCTTCTGCTATTTCAAACAATAAGCAGCCTTTTATAGGTCTCATTTGCATATGTTAACATATTTATAGGATAAATTCCTAGAGGAGGAATCACCAGGTCAAACGCACTTGTAATTGTGATCGGTGCTGCCCAATTGCTCTCCACGCTGATTGCAACAATTTACACGCCCACCAGCAATATATAAGAGTGTCTGTTTCCCCACGGCCTCATCAAAAGTGCATGTTTTCAGATCTCTCCGTTTTTGCCAGTATGATAAATTTTTTAAAATCTATCTTAATATAGCTTTAGAATGGGGAAGGTTGAATCATAGTGTTTGCTTTTGTTTTTTGTTTTTGTTTTGTTTTAATTTCTGTCTTAATGGTATTCCTGCTCAGTGCTCTACCTTTCATGCGTATTTACCTGTGAGATCTCTGGGTATGCAGTAGTCGGTTGGACTAATAAACATGAAGGCTGCACCCCTCAGCTGAACAGTTGCTCTTTCTCCCTACATTTTATCCCTGATAAATGCACGTGACATTCTAGCTAAATAATTGTGTTTTTCTAAGATTTTATTTTTAAGTGATCTCTACATGCAACATGGGGCTCGAACCTACAACCCCAAGATCAAGAGCCACATGCTCTACTGACTGAGACAGCCAGGCGCCCCTAAATAATTGTTTATTATTTTGATGGCTTATACGCTGCTTTATTTCTAAAATATTTTAAGTAAGAAAGTTGGAGTAAAGACTAAAAAAATGACTGTAAGGAATGCAAGATGAAGGCAGACATGAAGTCAGTTCACCAATAGCCTCAACAGGTTATTGAAATAGCAGGCAGGTCACAGATTTGGCCAGTGACAAGAGCCAAAGAGTTCAAAACATCTGGGTAGGACTCTGTCAGAACCTGGCTTTTCCGAGGCTGTAATAATCACCAGAGTGTGTGGAGAGACATTCCTCCTTTTCTCGGCATTCATGCTCCAAACTCAGGTGCCCTGTGGGCCTGGAGAGCAGAGACAGCCAGGGACCTGGGAGGAAGGTGGTCAGCTGGTGGGGAGGGAAGAGCAGAGGACGAGGAAGAGCTTGGTAGGAAGGAAAACAGGGCAAGAGGAGTGGGGAACATGCCAGAAAGTGCACTGGTCAGAAAAAGCTGCCTCCAAATATTATCTGAACATGCATAGATGCATCGTTTATCACACTGTGGGAGCTGTAACAAATCAACAGCAACTTCATTCTCCTGGAATTCTTATGGTACCATGTGGCCTGCTTTTTCTAAGCCCTGACCTCGGTCAGATTCCTGTTTGGCATCTTTGCTTTGTCTTCTGGCCAAGTCCTACTTGGAGTTGAGCTCTATAGAGGAAGAAGGGATTGCTTTAGGCTTGGATCGTGACAGTACGTCGTATGAAAACATTCCAGTTCCTAGTAGAGGGAAGCATAATTCTAAGAATGTTCAGGAAAACTGGAGACCATCTTCATGTCTGCCGCAAATGACAATACTTTGCTTTCCAGTATTCTTCATATATAAAATTGTCACTTTAAACCCAGATTTTAAAAAGTAGTCCTACTAGGATTACAGCTCCAGTAAGAGATATTTGCTGGTAGAAGGGGATAAGAACAAAAAATAGCGTTAGGGTATTAGGGTGAAATTTACCCAAAAAACCAATGTTGTTATAGTTGCCTTTTCATACACGCAAAGTCATAGCCATTGCTCAGTGTCAAAATAAACTTGTTTTGCTTCATTTGGTGCAGATAAAGCTATCGTCTCTCCAGACAAACCAAACAAACCCTTTAACTTACAGCGCAATATTTTGTCTTTCCAGGCATCCTATAAGCCATTGTTGAAGCAGGTTGTGGAAGAAATATTTAATCCTGAGAGGCCAGATCCAGTGGATATTGAACACATGTCTTCAGGCCTCACTGATCTCCTTAAAACTGGATTCAGCATGTTTATGAAGGTAAAGTGACCATGCAGAGGTGATCCTGACGGTGCCACTCTCTGTGATGGGCGTGGCAATGCTGACACCCCATTCACCCTGGGGGAACCATATAAGGTAACACCCAGTATTTTGGCTCTTCTGAAATCAGGTGCAATCTTTATTTAACTTCGGTTATAAGCAGCCCGATCTTCCGGCCTTATGCAGCTTCTTTTGACCTAAGCACTATGGTCTTTTTTCAATCGATATGTGAGGATACAAGCCCCCTAGGATAGTGTGAATGAAAACTTTTCTCCTCCTTGGCCCACATTTTCACTTAATCCATATACTATTCGCAGGTCTTAATGATGGTCTCTTGCTCTTAATTCTAGAACTCAGGTAGAATAATGCATAACTCTGCTCAGCCACATGACTCGCATCACCCCCAAATCCATTCGAAAATGGCTTTTGTTTTAACCTAGTGGACTCCCATCCCAGGGGCCAAGTGCTAGACTTTCTCTGGCTAATATCAAGGAGAGGTCAAAATGACTGAAGAGCTTTTGCCATGGGGAGGAAAGGAGGAGAAGTACACAAATGAGATCTATTTTTAACTCACTATAACGTTTCTGAATTTGAAAGAATCTAAACAAGATTACAGACTGGCCTCCCAGTCTATGCCAGGACTTTAGTTGTAATAACTCTTGGAAATAACAGAATGTTTTGCCTGCTTCAAAGCGTCTTTGAAATCATGAACTAATCTACATAGCAGATCTGGCCTTTCAGAGTTCAGTAAATGCATGTGCCAGGAAAACTGGTCCACGCGAACAGCCAGAGGACGGAAGCCAGACAGTCAGACCCGAGACAGAGCAGTAAACCGGCTAGAGGGGCCGCCCGGGTCGCCTTCCTGCTGCCTCCACTTAGCACTGTCTGTTGTTCTGCGTGGCTCCTGGATTTTCCCCCTCTTTATTATTATTATTTTTTATAAATAATCTATTACAGATCAGCTTCTTAAAGGCGTGTGGGGGCTCCTCAGTTGCACATAATCCCAAGGTTGTTCAATAGCCCTTCACGATGGCTACTTTGCCTAAAAACTTCCAGACTAGACGTGGTCTCCAAAACCTTCTCCACTTGAGCACCCTCTTCCTTCCTTCACAAGCTTGGACTTCGCCCTGAGGAGAGGCTAAAGTAACAAGGTTGAGCTTTCAGGCCCTGGTCCGTGAGGCCGGCTCGACAGGCCCTGGGCGCTTCCCCAGTCAGGCGGCCGCGGCCGCATCTGGCGTTGGCCGGGGGCACAGTGAAGGCTCCAGCCTGTCTGCTCTCTGCTCTCCGCGTCACTCTTGTCCGGCGATGTCCCACGATGTCCCCATAGCAAAAGGATCCTGTGACCAAATACGTTTGGGAAACACTGGATAAAACAACAAATGAAATTGCTTCCGAGGGCACGGTGCCTTTAATATGCTGATGGACTGTGCAAGTGTCAGGCCTATACGGAGCCTCCCTTGTGGGAGACGAGTGGCTTGCGCTTTCCATTACTGGCTCATGAACCGTGACACATCACATTTTTGAATTACCCTTTTACACTCTGCAGAGTGTTCACTGCAGCCCTTTCACTGATCAGAAGTGTCATTGTCCTGAGGAGGATTTTGCCTAGGAAAAACGGGTGTGGAGCCGTCCTAGGCTGCTGTGTTTCTCTGCCTTCATATCCCTGGGGTTAGGACTCATGAAGAAATGCTCTGGCCCCTTGAGACTGATCTCAAAGAGGGGATTCCAAGTAATGCATTTCAGAAAAAGAGAGAATTTGTGTTTTCCCAGCAGATATCAGAATCCATTCCTCAGCCCCCAGCTGCCAGGCGTCTGCTCTCAGTTGCCAGGGGGTGTCATCTGTCTGCAGGGGGTGAGGAGAGTCTCAGTGGACTGGCCACAAAGCCCTCCCCACGCCACCACCCCAACGGAGAGGCGTTTTGTTCTGTTTCTACCTGGGCTTCCATGCTGACTCTTCGCACCACACCATAGAACTTGAAAAGTAACATTACCTCTGGCTCATGTGTTCAGGACTTGAACAAAATAAATGGGATAAATGTAGAGAAGAACAGTCAGTAGGGCTTTGAGGAATAACTGTGATTTCCCAAGGAGCTATGTCTTTGAGATGGAGGGAAACCATCAGGAGAGAGTATCTTCCACTCTGTTTTAAGGCCCGTGGAGAGAAGAGGATGCAAGATGCGTGTCTAAGAGTCTCTGCTTCAAACCAAAGCTCTGTGAGAGGGAAGTCAAGGCCACTGGAGTTTGCCCTTACTAAAGTCGGAACTCTGTCTGCATCCTACTGCAACTTGTTACCATCTCCTTCCCACATTGCTTTCATGTGCTTTCCTCTATAAAGGCTGTCCAGAGAAGTCTTCCGTCCCCATCTGTTCTGGTTATCTCTTGCTGCATAAGAAGCCATCCCAAAACACTGACTTAACGTACTGTTGATCACTGATTTTGTTCATGAATCTGTACTCTGGGCAGAGCTCAACAGAGAGCAATTCACCATCAAGATGGCACCCGTACATGTCAGCAGGTTGATGCTGCCCATCAGCTGGTAGCTCAGCCTGGCCCATGAGCTGAGGGACGCAGTTCTCTCCATCGCCCTGAGCTTCCTCACAGCATGGCGGCTGTGTTCAAGGGCAAGCGTCCTAAGAGAGAGCCAGATGGAAACCTCAGAAGTCATGTAGCATCCCCTCCACAGTGCTCTGTTTGTCAAGGCAGACACCCATACCCACCTGGGTTGGAGGAGAAGGAACTTACTCTCTTCTTTTTGGAAAGGGAGCAGAAATTATTGTCGTGGCCACTGTTGGAAAACACAATCTGCACTCAGCCTGAATATGCACTTGGCTGTCCAGCCTGGCGGGGCAGCATGTGACAAGTTCTAAGAGTTTTCCTTCCAGTCTAGAGGACAGAAAATCCTCCCGTGCTCTTGACCCAGATTCAAAATAAGTGCTCCCAGAAAAGCTTTGATAATGAAAGATCTGCCGTTTGCCATAATTTTTTTAAATAATATAATCTCAAACACAAACAAACAAACAAAACCAAAATCTTCCTGCGTGATAAGACACTACAGGACTTTCCTCTCCCGGGTTCACTGTGTCAGGCCCTGGAAGGTAAAGCAGGCAAGCTGGGGAGAAGAGCCAGTGTGCCCACAAGACCATTCTTCGAATGGTTCTGAGACAGTGTTTCAAGTCCACTACGTGCACTCCTCAAGCAGAAGATAGACTTGTGGTTAGCCACATAAAGCTGTGGGCTTCAAAAGGCAATGCCTTGGAGGGGGGGGCTATCAAACTGGGGAGAAACAGCTTTGGCAGAACCTGACATTCTTCAAACAACCAAGCATTTCTCCAAGATGCTTGTGCATGGAGCACCTTGATCTCCTTACGGGAAAGCTTGATAGTGATCTAATAAATAAATCAAAACATACCTTACCCCCCTCTCTTCAACGTTAATTTAATTTAAAACTAGCGTGTCTAATAGGCAGCACTTTTAAAATGCATTTCTGGAATTTGTGGTTTAGATTTTGGTCTCCTGAAAATAATATACTTTATATCTACTCCATGTGTTTGGCCCCCAACTTGTTTTGACTAAAGGACATGATTTGTCAAGATGTTTTCTCTGCTGGAATTGGCATAAGGAGGGTGGGTTTTATCTAATGAAATTGCGTGAGGCCCTTTTACCTCCTTTTATGTATTTTTTTTAAGATTTTATTTATTTATTTAACACAGAGAGAGAGAGAGAGAGAGAGAGAGATCACAAGTAGGCAAGCAGGCAGGGAGAGGGAGCATGGAGCCCAATGCGGGGCTCGATCCCAGGACCCTGGGATCATGACCCAAGCCGAAGGCAGACTCTTAACCAACTGAGCCACCCAGGCGCCCCTTATGTATGTTTTTTTTATCTTTATGTTTTTTTTTTAAAGATTTTATTTATTTATTTGAGAGAGAGAGAATGAGAGATAGAGAGCACGAGAGGGAAGAGAGTCAGAGGGAGAAGCAGACTCCCCGCTGAGCAGGGAGCCCGATGTGGGACTCGATCCCAGGACTCCAGGATCATGACCTGAGCCGAAGGCAGTCGCTTAACCAACTGAGCCACCCAGGCGCCCTATGTATGTTTTTTAAGAAGGTTTTTATTGCTGTTGTTCCATTTCCTATGTGGCCATGCTTAATTGGAAAAAATTAAAAGATTTGTGAAAAAGACTCAGCGAAGACCCAGTGCTTGCCTCTGGGCCCTTCTCTGAATTCATATGAGAGCTCCCTCGCCTTGGGTCCACAGGGGAGATGGAATAGCTGCTCAACAGGCCCTGCAAAGCTGGTCATGAGAGGAGATTGGAACTGAAACTCTTTCAGTGACAATGAGGATGCCAACAAAGTGCACGACTTAATCATTTCTTGTGAATCATTTATGGTGAAGACCGAGGAGGATCTCAGGGAACTCAGGGCAGCAGTGTGGTGGGCCTCAGGAAGGATGGGGACTGAGAACTAGAAAAGCCATCAGGAAACCAGACAGTTCTCTGGGACTCGCTCTGGCCTGCAGAAGATGCAAAGCACACCAGCCAGCACAGGGCAGGTGCCCAGGAAGTATTCACTGAATGAACAGTTGGGTCGTGATGCCACAGCTCTTGGTTCTTCTTAAGAGCTCAGCTTTGACTGAGCCTCATCTGTCTTCAGTCAAGTCTTGATTCCCAGGGAAGGATCTGGAATTGGCCCAACTGAGGTCAGCAGCGCTTTCCCGAACCAATCAGCTATGGCTGAGGGTCAGGATCACATTGCAACTGCATAGCTGCCGGGATCCTACCCCACAACCATAGGCATAAAGGAGACCATTCAGGTGTGGGTTGGATGCACCTATAGCGAAGGGGTGAAGGCTGCCATGGGGATGAAGGGCAAATATGATGAGCCTCAGGTGAGATTTGCTGTCAGAGCCTTGGACCGTAAGAGATGGACATGCCTGTGGATCATCTCGTCCGTCTCGTCATTGTTTACATAAGCAAACAAGATGGAGAGATGAACTGTTGGTGT